TCTTATATATAAAGCTGAATGTCTGTTTGTCTGCCTGTCTGCATGTGTTACGTATGTCTCGAATAGAAAATTCCATTTCTGAACCGATCCGGACCAAACTTGGCACACATACACTTCGATGCGGGGCGGGTGTCATAGGCTACTTTTCGTCATCGATCGGCATCGGTTTTATCGACTTTTATCGATTTTTTGCAAAGTTTGAGCTACGGGGTTGAGAGCCACAGGGGGATAATCGAGCATGCTGATTACGAACACAATTTTAGTTTTTGGAATTATCCATTAGTTTTACCGATTTTGTCGATTTTTTCTGCAAAGTTTGAGCTACGGGCTGAGAGTTGGCACAGGGGGAGGGGGGTAATCGAGCATGCTGATTACGAAATATTCTTAGAATTATCAATTAGTTTTATCGATTTTAGCGATCTTTCGGCAAAGTTGATTTACGGGGCAGGGAGTCAAAGGAGGTAAGCGGGGAGGCATGCTGATTACGAGAACAAAACGACGATAGGGAATGGCAATTAGAAATGGGCACAGGGAAAGATTTGTCAGGAAGTAACCTTTAACGTATTGTTTGACAGGGCCGGCCGAAGCCGGATATGCCAGCTGGTTTGTCTAGTATGACTATTATAAATAAGAATTTTCATCTCTTTTCTCTGGATCTGAAGTGTCGTTTTCAGCAGCGTATGGACTTTTCAAAGTTCATTTGAACGCATGACAGCGATTTCAGCAAACCTGAGAAACGAGAAATTTTGAGGGTTCGAGTTCAATAAGAATGTCTAAAGAATACAGTAACCTTGAGAATTAATTGAAAAGATCTGATATATGCATAGTAACCTTCTGTACTTATTTTGAGTAATCAATTTTTATTTTGAATAAAAACCTTCGAGAAAAAATTTGGGAAAATCTGTAGTCTGTAAATACGTACAAACGCAATCTGAAAATTTTGCTTCGATAATTTCATGAACATCGAATCTTTTGCGGAACATCGCAGCAGCACTCTTCCTCTTCGAAGGCAGCGTACACCTAGAATCCATGCTACCCAGTTCTCTATATGATGTATATGTAGGGCCCAGATGAAGACCAGCTGCGTTGATCCGGGACCAACTGATAACGACCAACGTTGATACGGTCTCCCAATGTTGCTTCTAAGGGGAGAAAACGCGCCTGAATCTCTTTGCGCTCCCCCCTTTTTGCGGTCCGCCTCCTTCAGACGAATCCACGACAGCATAAGCTGTGTGGTTGAGGTGAGGCTAGAAGGATATGCAGAACAATAAACTTCGAATACTTGTGAGCTTGAAATCGTGCCACGCGGGCTGATATGTGGGTGCCGTGTACCTCAACTCAAACTTGGGTAATTAGACCTTTTACTTTGAATAACAAAATACGAATGAACAAAAAATCCACGGAAGTTACATAACAAATAAATGTCACTACCAAAGTGATCTTGGTACATAGCAAACAAATTATGTTTCGAGGTAAAATGCGCGGTGACAGTACTTGTCACTTTTCTCATTCACAATACTTGTTGTGATGCTTGTATTTTAGCTACTACTTGAACTGTTAGTAGGAATACTTGAAAAGTTCAATAGAAAATGCGATTTCAGTCTACCTACAGCTCATATATGAATATGTGAGATGTGTATTAGTTGATGAGAGTATGAAGCGACCGGCACTTAGCCGGCTAAACAATCAATTTGACTCTCGCCTCGCCAGTTAGATCCTCCTCTAAAACGCATTCCAAAAACTGGCGCAGCTGGCGTTTGAATCACTTGCTCGCGCAGTGGTTTGTGCTAAAATAAGATTGCAAGGAAAGGAATACCGTAACAGGCAGAACGGCATAATCGCTTGTTTTCCTTGTCGTTGGCAACAAACTGTAAGTGTAAGCGTATGCTGCAGTTGTAGTTGCGACTGCAGGCTGTCATGCAGTTGCAGCCTGCTCCTCGCTGGCATGCCGACGGGGTCGAGCAACTCGAAACTCGTCCGCTCTCTGAATAGAGGGTCCTCGGGAATGGTTGCACTTCCGGAGGTAAGCCGCGCGCGCTAACCGCTTTGCCGCGTAAGCCACATCCAAATCTTGGGACTCACAAAACTCTCCGCTGTTAGAGATTCCCGGCTGCAAAAATAGGGAAGTTGGGTGATGACAGATATATTACTCGATGCCGTAAGTAACACTGCACCAGGAGCGCTGCTGCTGCATTGGCTGAAGTGCACCGCGGCGTCGCTTTGCAAAAAATTCGCGCCGATCGCACCTCCTGACCGTCCCCCTCAGGAATCGGGGATTTTTGTGGCCGTATTCATCAACGAAACCCGTGGGTTCCGGAACCCACTGGGTTAGTGCTTTTGATGAATATCGATTCTTCCCTGGAGTAGAATCGATATTCATCAAAAGCACTAACTCAGTGGGTTTCGGAACCCACGGGTTTCGTTGATGAATACGGCCATTGGTTCTAAAGAACTTGAATTTTATAACTGTGATCAGGGTCAGAAAAGACCCAGGGTGATAAAAACATGGGAGGCAAAATTTTAGATGTACGCTGCCTTCAAAAGGCACTAAGCAGGACAAATATGCCTAAAGTTTTATACCGAAAATGTTTCTGTTTTCAACCGGAAAATACTACCCAAAATAATGGCACACAAATCCACCAATTTTTTCAACACAAGTACTGCACGCAAAAGATTCTCATACACGCTTGCATGTCATGCTTTTCACCTCTTTTGCAATGATTGGTACATGGGATTTTTTCCGGAAATTTGTCCATCCCAGAAAACGAATTCTCCTTTGATTTTTCGCCCCGAAGACGATATCCAGCCTGTGAATGCCCCACCTTCGCCGGGTCCTGCTCTCCGGTTTCCCTTCAACGTGTTTCAACAAGTCCCAGTCAGCGCCCACCTCAAAGTCGCGCCACTGCGGCGCAGGCTGGGGTGAGAAGGCACAACTCGCTCGCGTTGCCTCCGCCGCATGGCCTCTCGTATTTTTGAGCATTTTGCGCGATTTTAAATCTGCGTGAAGTCTGACGAAGTCGCTAAGGCCTTCGATACGATGACTAATGAAACTTGGCTTCTAACAAGGGAAGGATGATTGATCGAAGTGGCCATTTGGAATGCGCTGTATATTAGGAAACCGTCGTCGGTAAGGCAAACTCAAGACTACTTTCGTTAGGTGCCGAGCGGTTTTGTGGGGGGAGTTACAAGGCCATTTTCCTCCGGCGCAGCCGGCGCAACCAGTAATTAGCGAGGCGCTAGAAAAACAGTAGTGTGGCGGTGGCGCAGTGGCAAGGCAGCGGACTACGAAGCAGATGATCGAGGGTTCGAGTCCTGTTGCTGCTATTTTGTTTTGCAGTTCTACAAAAAGTCTATTGGGTGACAGTAAACGAAAAATACTCATTTCTAGGCAGTTGAAACAAGCTATTTACTGCAAAAAAGTCACTATTTCTACAATAAGCTATAATCTTCTACAATATGTAAATCTGTGGAGGATATGATGTCACAACAAGGGATTCAAATGATATATTAACATGTATGGAATACAACCACAAAATTCAAAGCAGAAGAGCTTCTCGCAGCGCGCGCACTTGCAAAATTGCAATCGTTTTACATCCCATGTATTGGCTCTCGGTCTGAACTTTACCTTGCATCATAGGGATTCCATCCTTAAGATCTTATCGCTCATTTACACACAGTTTTGCTCGCCGCGATTCAAAAATTTCCTTTCATACCCATGGCATGCAGCCGGATACATTGATAACCAGCCCGGCGAATTCGAGTCCCCTATTCAGTACTGTTTTTCACCGACTTTGATAGGCAATTGTGAAGCTGCTGATTGTCATCGTTTATATTTTATCCGATGTGCGCGCTGCTTTGCATTGAGCATTTTGTGGTTATATTCCACACATGTTAATATATCATTTGAATCCCTTGTTGTGACATCATAACCTCCACAGATTTACATATTGTAGAAGATTATAGCTTATTGTAGAAATAGTGACTTTTTGCAGTAATAGCTTGTCTTAACTACCTAGAAACGAGTATTTTTCGCTTACTGTCACCCAATAGACTTTTTGTAGAACTGCAAAACAAAATAGCAGCAACAGGGCTCCAACCCTCGACCATCTGCCTCTTAGTCCGCCGTCTTGCCACTGCGCCACCCTTACACTGGCGCGTTGTTCTAGCGCCTCGCTCATCACTGGGTGCGCCGGCTGTGCCGGAGGAAAATGGCCTTGTAACTCTCCCCACAAAACCCTCGGCACCTAGCGAAAGTAGTCTGAGTTTGCCTTACCGACGACGGTTTCCTAATATACAGCGCATTACAAATGACCACTTCGACCCACCCTTCCCTTGTAAGTTACAGAAATGTCCTGCCATCTATTATGCTCGGGTATTAGGGTAGAGAACCTTCGTAAGATAGATAGCAAAAATTACAGATATCTACAACAGCGGAATATGACGAGTTCATTTCCAGCTCCCCCCCCCCCCCTCTCCCCTCACGCATCGGGAATGTACGCGCATACGACTTTGGGTCCGTATCAGTGAGACTAATATGGGCTATACGTATTGTGCACTAAATGCACCACTGTCGCTTCCATCGAAGACAGTTCGTAAAAACAGGAAGGGAGCACAGAAAAAAAAAACGGCGACAAAAAAACGAGATTGCACGAAAGACGAGGAGTCACCCACGTCAGCAGTTTCGCGCCTTGCGAGTACTCAGATATTTTTTGCAGCCACCCGCGCGCTCATGGCCGGCTGGGCGAAAACCCGTTCCGGGCCTTGCCCTGCCATGCTAGCGCGGGCCAGCGACGGTTCTAGTGTGTGCAGCGACCCTGTCATCCGGACGAGCGGGCCAGCCTGTATTTCAATGTCTCCTTTGATTTGTTGGCCCACGCTAGCATAGCAGGGTCACCCTGGGGTTGGGTTTTTGCTCGGCCGCACCTGCATTCGCAGGTCACCTCAAATGTGGATGCGACCCATTTGAGATCAAAAATGGTGGAGATCGTTCCTGCTTCACACTAGTGATCGAAATATACGAGATTAATTGAAACCCCATCAGCGGTCAACTCATAAGGGAACCTGTTGTGCCTAAATGCAAGTGTTACTTCGCCTGCAAGCTCCGATGGCATCCCTTTTACTGCGTCGTATCTCACGCGAGTAACCCTTTTGCTTACAACGTGCGTTAATCCATATGGATGAGCGGGTCGCTGTTAATTTCGGCATGCGTGTGTACGGGTGCGCGGGCCGCCAATGAAATTATGAGCCTGTTTAGGCGCGCGGGCCACCGTCAGCATGGCATCAACTATGTGCGCGGGTCGCCAGCTCACACCTGTGGGCCGCTGCTGGGCCTGATGCATGTAAGGCTAATATTTAGGTGCCGCGGCTCAACAGCGAAGCCCAGTTGGGCGACCGGGCCGCTGCAACAATTGTCTGAGCCAGTAATAATAATACCACTATACCAGCCAATAAACCACTAAGGCACTCAGGTCCGGGGGTAACAACGTCACAGTAAGACAAAAAAGTGAAGAAATAATTTATCTATATATATATATTACATATATATAATGGACGCATCTGGTACGATGTACAAATATCACATAGGGTAGAATTACAAGATAAGGCACTATTTACGTGTATGGGAACGCATGCAAGGTGCCTTCAACGGTGGAGAATGACATGTTAGACACGATTACATAAAACTTCTACCAAAAATAAGGCGTTCAACGCTCTACAGATAAGATATCTCAGAAACATTGCGTACCTACAAGCATGGACTTCATCCAGTGGCTGTGAGAGATGAAAACAATAGGAATGAAGCTCGCACTGAGAGTTGTCAAAATATCAAAACTGCTCAGCTTATGTTACCACTGTCAGACTTCGAACAAGTGCGGAGTGAAATAATTGCGAGAGTGAAATGAAACGTGAAAGATCGTGAACTCACCACTTAAATCGTTTGAATTATATAGAGGAGGACTGTATGTCCCCGAACGTAAGATGGCTCGCGCTGACTTCTTGCAAAAACGCATCCCCATGCATGTGAAAAAGGTGCGTATTCGTTGCAGATGACCGCGGAGACCACCCCAATTCGCCGACATATAGTCTTCTACGCAAGTACAGAGACAAACAGAATAGCATGACGACCTTCAGAACAAGCATGCGTACAAAGAAGGCATGGCTATAATTGTGGTACGATGATTCAAATTATTTGATTCTGAATAGCTGGTGATGTGTCACAACCGAGAACACGTTTCACGAAGCTACCCATGAGAAGTTCAACATCTGGTGTGGAAATGCTCATTCAAAGGTAAGAGTCAATAACAAATCTTTTGTAAGTGAAAATTTAAGAAGAACATTCAGCTGCCTTGTATCACATATCGCTCACTAACCATTACCTACAGATGCAGTACTGATTCGCGAGATTTATCACAACGCGATGAGCTATCTTGATTCCATAACGCAAGAAACCAAATCCACGTAAGGAAGTATATGATTGAAATCAATATCAGAGGCGTTAGACAAACAAGATATTGTGGTGCTCATTAAAAACTAAAACTCATTTCCAAAACAATCTATACCCAAATGATAAAATGTCTTAAGTTCGAAAGAAACAACCGCTTACTTCGCAAAGTAACTGCTTTTGGTGCCACCTCGATTCTTCAATAACGGTTTTCGAAGATATCTCATACTGTAGACTCTTGATTATCGCGAGTTATCAGTGCCACCATCTGATTCAGAGTCAGCATCTAAAGCTGGTATGGGGGTCCTTCCCGATGTGTTTCGCTGCAGCGTATTACGCTGATTTGCGGGTTTCACTAAAGAATAAATGTAGTGTCACTGATGCAATGTAATATGTTTTACATTTCTAGCTCTCTTCTTTGTTAAAAGGTAGTTTCTTCATTGAGCTTCGAAGTCAAATAAGTTCCGAAATAGTAAACACCGATACTGAAAATGCAAAATGTTCTAGCAGAAAAACAAGTTCTGAATGCAAGTTCAAAGATTAGGTGTTTTCAGGAGAATGGCCCACACAAAGTTATGTTTTCAATCTTTTGCTGAATGTAGCCAGCCCAATTTTTCGTACCACACGTACGATTTTAAAACACGATTCCCAGCATAAGAAAAGGTAAAGAATAAGGAACTCAATAAATTAATCAGTGCAAGAGAGCGTTGATATTAATTCTACGTACCAGTGATGATAAGATTATGTGCGTTGGCAACCATCATATCTGTGACTTGGTCCAGTGTTTTACCCTGCACATAGATTCCGTTCACCTCCAATACCTAGAAAGATTCCACATCAAGACAAATCTTTGCCTGAGCTCACAGCTTACACACTTCATCATTGACTCCCAGGAGTCCGGTGGACTCTGCTAGACCTCCATCAACTAAACGTGATATGAAGATGCCTTGCACCTTAGCAACACCACGTTCTGTTACCCTCACAGATGTGCCATCCCTGAAAAAAACAATGCTATTGTATGGCGACCTGACGGGTCTCTAGCAAGGATGAGGCAGATCATTGGTGGTGCCTGGGTTAGAATATTGATATTAATAATAATAGATAATGATGTTAATAATTATATTATTATAAGTTGAGAACTCTGTTTCGTTCCTATCCTAGACAGAGTATTGTGTTGTTTCTATGCCATCCTCGGAACTCTTCAGTAAGGAAAGATGGCGATAGTCAAAATAACTTATCTTTCTACATAAAATTGGTATTAAAATTTGTAATTCAAACATTTAGTTCAAATACATAAATTTCCACAAATTCTTCATACATTTCGATTAGGTCAATCCCGAGTGCTTAGTAAAAAAAATTTTTATAAAGCTAAAATGAATTTTTAAAAATTTTAAAAATTATTTTAATTATTTACAAGTAAAAACAAGTCACTTGCACATTTTTATAACCCATGTAAGTAACTTTCAAAAATTTCGCGACCCGTTCTCGGGGGGGAGGGGGGAGGGGCGCGCGCCTCCCCCGCCCCCCCCCCCCTCGGTACGCCACTGATATATTAGATTGGTGCAAAAATAATGAGCGTTTTCCTAGGACTTTTTTCAGGACAACTTTTCTCCATCAAACGTCTTTCTTTTTAATGGTTTCAGCACATTGTTAGAAAGCTCTTTTCATGCTCTATCTGGATGATGTTCGAAATCTAACTTCTAGCCCACTCTGTTAAGAATTTATAGAGCTTCACATAATCACACTCAAAATTAGATTTTTATTGCATTCATATTTCTGGCCAGAATTTGAGCGCGAATGAAGTTGGTTTATCGAAAATTTAGCCCTTATATGTAATGGAAATTGTCTACATTATGCATATTTAATCATATTTTTTTCAAGTTATCTAAAGTGAGATATCGGCGGCTTAAAGGCACCGTCCACCCAGTTTCTCGACTTCCAGGTTTTTGTCGTTTCAAGGCCTGCTCATGTCCCTGATTCCAAATATGAAGTCGAGAATCCGCGAAAATCCCGAAAACCCCCATTCCGGAGAACCCACAGGCCGGCTTTCCAGGGCGGTGATTGGAGGAGCGCGCACAGGTGGGCAGGCATGGATGGGGAGGGGCGGGCATGGATGGGGGTCCTCGTGCATCTCTGCTATTCCGAAGCGATTATCTCGCTTCCGAAGCGGCATTTTGCGCCGCGACTTGGGCATTGGCTTGGTAGGAGGCCCTACTGTTATACGCTACCAAAAGCTCAACATCCTCAACTTAGGGTGGACGGTGCCTTTAACATGGGTTATGGTTGTGGTCATTTTAGAGCCCATAACTTTCTTTTGTAAAATGCAGTCGCTCAAACTTTGCTCATCTCTGTAAGCGTGAGGGTAGGAGTCTCATTAGCGGCTTTTGCAAAAACATCCAGCTTTTCAGTACGCAGAAAATCAAAAAAATTCTCTACTTCGGGGTTTTGAGGCCTACTGAAAAAATGCTAAAAAAGTTGATATTCTTGAATTTCGATTTTTCCCTCTTCGCTAATCTTTTTTCTCCAAGCCGTTTCCATGTATATTTGTACTACTGGCTTGTGGCTACAAGATAGGCTACTTATAAATCATAAAAACAGCGTGTGAAAGGAGTTATGTTCTGTCGAAAACAAGGCTTCAGAAAAAAACTCTTTTTATTTTTTAATCCATATTTTTCTGCCCGCATGAGATATGAGTATAGTTCAATGTGCGCTGTACTGCGAAAGATTCGCTGCATCTGATGGTTTTTATCACATTTCAAAATGTAGATTTTGTAGAAAGTTATAGCAAGTTAAAGTGGAAAATGGGAAAACGCTCATTATTTTTGCACCAACCTAATATATATATTAGGTCATTCCGAAAGTAATTTCGCTTTTTTCAAAAGGACGCCACATGTGACGGAACAAAGTTTTCTAAGAGATCTTGGAGGAGTTCGATGCAGAAATTCATTCTCTTTCTAACAGTTATGAAATTGTTGCAAAACAGTCAACGAGCTTTCAGAAAATAACTAAAATCTGCGACACATGCTTTTTGAGATGGTCAAGTTTCGCATTTTTTTTGAAACTTTCACATCAATCCTCAGAAGAAGCTCAAGTAACGTTTCGATAGAGTAAACCATATAGAATACAGTGCTACTTTTTTCTCTTTCTCATAGCTCGCTGCAATTTTTCAAAGGATTTTCTAACAGAACCATCGGATTTTGGCAGGCCCACCTCAGCAACAATCGCATCAAACATCAGTAATTACTCGGAATTATAAGCTTTCAAGATGATATATGACTTAATATTGATTATATAAAGCAAATGAGAGTTTACGGACTCGAAATGTCAAATTTCGAGTTCTTCGGGTTCAGCCCGGGGTTCCTTAAAAAAATGAATTGTGATGATTTTATCTCCGAAAACTAAACGAATCGAAAACAAAAAACAACCATTAGAAAGAGGAGAAAATGCTGCATCGAATAGTGCCCGAGCTGCTCAAGGATTGATGTTCTACGAGGATTTAACTGCCCAAGTATGGAAATCGGTAGCATCAGTTAAAATTCTGTCAAAAATGTATGACAAGCTATGGAAAGGAGAAAAAAGTAGTACTGTATTCTATAAGGTTTACGCTATCGAATCATCACTTGAACTTCTTCTGAGGATTGATATAAAAATTTGAAAAAATCGTGAAACTTGACCATCTTAAAAAGCATGGGTCGCAGACTTTGGTTATTTTCTGAAAGCTCATTCCATGTTCTGCAACGGTTTCGTAACCATTAGAAGCAGAATGAAATTCTGCATCGAATGCATCCAAGACCTCTTGAAAAGCTTTGCTCTATCAAATGTGGCGCCCTTTTGAAAAAAGCGAAATTACTTTCGGAATGACCTAATATATATATATATATATACATATATATATCAGTGCGTACCGAGGGAGTACTCTGCGTTGATACCACTGCTT